CTTTCCATTGGCCCAGGAAGACATTCCCCAGGGAGTTCTAGAGATCCACCGCCTGGACTCCCTGTCCCTGTTCCTTGTCTGTCCTCCCCTCCTCCCTGGGAAACAGGTGTGTCAGCTGGCGCTGGAAGCAGAGGCCTAGTGCTGGACAACTAGCCTTCGATGAATGGGACCTGGTTGCCCCTTTACTCACCAAGAGGTCCCCATACACCCCGTTTTCTCTCTTGCTCAGGGTCCCCCAGGTGTTCTCTCACCTTGCAAGCGTTTATAAAGGGAAGGCCTGGGTGGCTTCTGACAGGCCTCATGGTTTCCTCTGGGTGCTGAATCACTCCTGTAAGCCTGTAACCGCACGTCCTCCTTCCCCTCGTGAGAAATCCTTCCTTCTTTGGATGTATTGCTCACTCTTACCCACTGTGTTGCCTAGAGCCCTTGTGAACGTTTAGGCTTAGCAGACACCCTCTTTCAAATCGCTCAAAAACTTTCCTTGTGACCCCAAGCCCGGCAATGGATTTGTGGGCAGGGACGGTGAAATGAATGACTTTCCCAAAGCGCGAGTGGGGAGTGGGAGCAGAGGGAGAACCAGTCAGTTAAATGCTGACTATGTGCAGGGTGCTATGCTGAGTGCTAGTCCTTATCCCCTTCAGTCCTCACGAAACCCATGCAAGGTGATCATTATCTTTTTAAAGAATGATTTTACTTAACTTTATTTATTATTATTATTTTTCAGTTCGATCAGAGATAAACAGAGAAAGAGAGGGAAAGTTGTCCCGACCCGGGGGACAGTTGAACAGTTTTCCTGAGGGAAGGAGTGAGAGATGGGATGAATGACACAGTGTTACAACAGGGAGACGACGACGCAGTGTCACAACTCTTCAGGGTCATCTGGAGATGACCCGGTGTCACAACTCTTTAGGGTCTTCAGGGTCATCTGGCGATTGTGGGCCAGGGATCGTGGTTATATACATGCTGGTGGGCCGTGATTGGTTGCCCTATATGCTAATGAAGGATTGTAGAAGGTGGGTTATGATTGGTTGCTTTTGTGGACCAATCATGAGGTGCCAGATATGCAAATCTGAGGGATTCTAAGCTCACCAATTTGCTATGGGAAGTGGCCAATCAGAGTATGGTTTTGAGGTGAGGTTTTGAAGGGGAACCAATCATGGCCTTTGGCATTGTGTAATTGTTTGCTCTCTGAGAAACCGAAACCTAAGGGGGATATTCGCTGGTGCGCAGCCTCCCACAGAAAGTGAGAAAGCAAGCTGCCAGGTCTAGGACTTGAACTGCAGTCAGCCATGTGGGAGTCCAGTGCCCTTAACCAACACGCCACCTAGTGACCCCAACAAGGTGGTTATTATTATCCCCCTTTTGTAAAGTAAGACTTGAGACTCTGACAATGTGTCCCCAAATCACAGGCCAATAGGTGGCAGAGGTACAATTCAGCTCTGGGGCTGATGCCAGGATCCCATTCCAGGGCACAGGGCTTGTTGGTCACTCAGTGTGTTCTTCAGGGGAAGAGACAGGAGTGGCTGTGGCTGCCACCTGACTACTTTGTCTGACCGCTGGGCCTTTTTTTTTTCTTAGGTTTTTGCCATAGGGTATGTGTATTTGCCAGAGAGACAAAGAATGAAAGTGAGAAATCCCCAGGGGAGATGGCCATACCGCAATCCCTTCTCCTCCATTCTCTTCCTGGGATTTTGGGCATGCACGCACACATGCCTAGCATGATTTTCAAGTTGCCAGGTCTAGGACTCAAACCATGGTCAGCCATGTGGTAATCCAGTGCCTTAACCACCATGCCACAGGCTGGCCCCTATAGTTGGGTTTCTTGGAAAAGTGGGCGTGGGCCAGGTCACAAAGAGCCTTGCCTTTCAACCGGAGGTGACAGATGCCATGGATTTATGTTAATGTTTGTGGCCCTAGTTGAGCAAGACTGAAACACATAATTTCCGTTTTTTTGTGTCCATTCTTCAACTGGACTGAGAACTAAGGGAGCTGAGGAGAGGATTTCTCCTGAGATCTCCAACTGGAGGGGTAACCCCTGTCATGAGAAATGGTGCAATTATAGAACCCACTGAAAGTCAGTGTCAGTGAGGGAAAAAAAAGTCTCTGGAGTGCTCTACCATGCCCCATCCTCAATCTAGGAGAATCAGATTTGGTAATAATAAAAACAACAGTATTAGCTCCATTTTATTGTGAACTTGCTAAGGGATGAATTTTAAGCATATTATCATTTAACCTTTACAACAATCCTGGGGGTATAGTATTATTATTACCTCCATTTTACAGATGGGGAGACAGAGGTTCAGCAAAGCAAATTTTGCCTTGGCTGGCAGCAGAGTTAGAATCAGAACGTATCTGGGGCCAGCAGGTTGCGTGGACTCCCACATGGCTAACTGGGGTTTGAGTCCCAGACCTGACAGCTTGCTTTCTCACTTCCCTTCTGTCTCTTTCTGGTCAACTTAGAAAAAAGAAAAAAGAAAAAGAAAAAAAGAATCAGAACATACCTGCCTGGTTCATGATCCTGACTATTTCACTGTATTGCCTCTGAAACTTATGCTGTTGGCCCAGCCATTCCCTTAGGGGTGTGAAGGACTTGGAATTTTAGAATTGCTGCCATTAGGTAATTCTCTTCTACGTTGCTTACAGATATGACTCCTCAATTCAACTGGAACCCTCAACAGTCTTGTGAAGTAAGAGGTGCATGCTGTTATTACCTTCATTTTTATGGGTGAGAAAAACGATGCTCATTAAAATCAAGAAACCTGGCAAGTGTCACACACAGCCAGTAAGTAAGCAGCAGAGCCAGATATCACTTTAAGGTCTCTTTTCTCTCTATAGACTGCTCTTTCAGGTATATTGCTGGGCACCAAACGATGGCTTCCCTCCATCCTTCCAGGTACCTTGTCTGAATTAAGTTGACATAAAACAGGTGAGGAGAAAAACCATATTTAATTACATAAGTAACCATGGGAGTCCACAAATATGAGACTTGAAGAAGTGTCAGAAGATTGAAGCTCTAGAAAAGAACTGGGGTTTGGGGTTTCTGGGGTCTGGTGGCAACACTAGGCATAGCAGGGTGAAGGAAGTAAATTTATGATGAATAGTTTGTTTTGTTATACAGATAAAGTCACTCAGGCCATAAAACTTAGAGCAGCTAACATCCTGATATAGATACTTACTTAAGTAGATTTCCTTACAGAAGAGAATTTATTTTACAAGCTAGCTTTGCAGAGCCACTCCTGAGTATGCAGTTTCTCAGAATAACCAGCTAAAAATATGCTAAAGAGTGATTTGGGGGTGGTGTATTTTGGTCTTCCTTTGAGGTGATGTGTCCTGAACCCCAACATGGAAATACACAGGGTTGGGACCAGCAGTTGGCATAATGGCTATGTTGCTGGACTCCCCATGTAGTCTACTGCACACACCAGGTGCATGTGCGTGCGTGCCTAAGATCGAGAAGACAATGGAGAAGGGATTAAGGCGTGGCCATCCCCGCTGGGGCGTGATTTCTCGCTGTCTCTTTCTCTGGGGAGCACACACGCCCTATAGCAAAAACCTCAACAACAACAAAAACAAAACACACAGGGCTCCTAGCTTTAAATGTATAACAGCTACTAGCTTTAAATGTATAATGCAAAGGGGAGTCAAGCTGTAGGTGACCGATTATGCGCGCACATCAAACGCAGCTCAGCCGGAGGGCAGTGCCGGCCACGTGTTCCCAGGTGCTCACGCGCAAACGCGAGCTCTCCATACGCATGGACAGACTCTGGCCAATAAGAATCGGCTCTTGTCACGTGACTAGGCCTAGGAAACTATACTTCCCAGAAGAGCCTGCGGTGGCCACCTCTGTGGGAAAACGTAGTTCCGGGAAGGGAAGGTCCGGATAGGCTGCATCGAAGAGGGGGCGGTTCTAAGCGTCTGGCAGCTGGGCCTATTTCCGTTAGGATCCGCGGAGGCGGTGGCTGCGGCAGTGCGGAACCAGCAGTGTCTGCTGAGCTTCTGCGTAGACATGGCGGCGGCTTTTCGGAAGGCGGCTAAGTCCCGGCAGCGGGAACACCCCGAGCGAAGCCAGGTAGGACCGCACGTGCCCCTCCAATGCTGGTCCATAGCCCCATGTGCGGCTCTCACAGCAACCCCCTCGCCTTTCCCGGGTCCCGGTCCCGGCGGTACGTAGAGGCGGGATGTAAATATACGCAAATATATGCTAATGACGCCGGCGTGGCTGGGGGGTGTGGGGTGGGTGGGTCTCTGGGAAGAGCGCGCTGCCGCAGGTGCTTGCTCAGGTGGGTCGACTCACTCTGCCAGGTTTCGGTGCGGTGACTGAGTGAGGTTGTGTTCAATGCCCGGCTTTCCCCGAGGAGCTTGAGTCAAATCTCGCACAGGCCACAAGTGCCCGGCTGGAGTTGGAATCCCACCCGATGCTCAGCTCTGCTGCTGCGGTTGGGGGCTGTGACCAAAGAGATCCGTGTCACTCAAGTGACATCATTATGCTTTGTGGTTCATGAAGATCTGCCACTTGTGCTTTTGCTAGTGATTCACCCTGTAGTGTTGGTGTTCTCCATCCCCGTTTTCCAGGTGAGGAACCTGAGGTCCAGAGAGTGACTAGCCGGCTGATAAACACCCAGTTAGGGCCGATTAAATAGCTGTAGGATTTCTGTGGCGGGTGTTTCCCTGTGGAGAGGTCAGGCAAAAGCTTACACGTAGGATCCAGTTGACTGCACTGCGGAATCACGTAATTTCTGATTCAGAAAGGTCTTGGAGATGTGGTCCATCCACCTTTCCCATGAGGGCAAGAAAAGGGAAAGGCTGGGCCTAGAATTGTGCAGCTACCTGTTGAGGGAAGCGAGGCATCTTAACCAGTCAGGTCTTCCTGCTTGATCACATCTGCCACACATTTACTGTGTCCTTGCTGTGTGCTCAGTGTTGTGCTGGGAGCAGTTTTGTAATGGGCCACCTCCTTTGGAAGCCTGCGAGGACCTAACTAGAAGTTATGCTAGTACCAGTTAGAAATGCGTCCTGTGCGCTAGAGCCAGACGGCAAAATGCTTTACTCTTACTATCTCATTTAACTCTCACAACAGGTGTGTGGAAATAAGTAAGCTTTTTTTTTTTTTATTCATCATCATTATTTTAAAAATTTTGATTAGAGAGAGACAGAGGGAGAGGGGAAGTGAGAAAGTAGGCCACCAGGGCCAGGGCTTATACCACATTTGGCCATGTGGGAATCCAGCGCCTCAACCACTTTCCACCCGCCACCCTGGAATTAGGTACTCTACGGCTTCACATTTACAGATGAGGAAACTAAGGCTCAGATAGGTTCAGTTCTTTGCTCAGACACACAGCTGTAGCTGGCAAGGGCTACAAAGCCGGGAATCCCCTGGGGTTTTAGGCAACTTTATAAAGAGGTGGCACATAGAGTGCTAGGGGAGGTATGTGAGCAGGAAGAATAGAAACGTCGAGAGAAAGCATTACGGTGAAACTTGCTGGACTTGGAAGGCAACGCCATTGCTTTGGGCACATAAAATATGCTAGGTGTGGAGCCTGCAGGGGAGTGGTTATTTAAGGCACTGGGCTCCCACATGGTTGACCATGGTTTGTATCCTGGACCCAGTGGCTTGTAAACCATGCTGGATGCGTGTGCCTGTGTGCCCAGAATCCAAGAGGAGAATGGAAGAGAAGGGATTGTGGTGTGGTCATTCCCCTTGGGAGATGATTTCTCATTTTCTCCCTCTGGCAAGGGCCGCACCCTATAACAAAGACATAAAAAGAAAACACCCAAAGAAACAAGAAAACAACAAAAATATGCTAGGGCTAGCCCTACATGTTTTACGAGGATTGTCTCATATGCTCCCGTAGCACCTTTATGAGGTGAGTATTACCTCGCAGTACATCTAATGCTTAAAGAGAACAGTATCCCCAAAGTCACAGTGGTGAGTAGTTGATTTAGATTAGCAGGGCAGAGAAAGGGCTTTCAAGGCTGGCCGTGGCCTTGGCATGGCCAAGTCTGAGTAGGAGGGAGGTTTTCGGGCAGAGGTGAGGGCTGTGCTAGAAAGGTGGTCAGCCACATGGATGGGAGCAGTCTTTGTTCGGGTAATTTGGACTTTATCCTGTAGTCTCATGAGGCAGTGGGGAAGCTCCTGAAGATATTTTTAATTTTGTTTGGAAGGCATGTACCATATGTAAACTTTCAGATGCAGTACCAGGTTTTCTTCTGTAATGCAGATGCACGCTCAAGTAGGCATGACAGATTTCAAGATTTCTGCCTCGTGTTCTTGCTATTTTGACCTGTGTGTTTACTTTCTTCACTATGTTGGTCTCCTCGTGCCTGCTATCATTAAAAATGATCAGGAAAGGTTTTTTGTTTGTTTAAAGAGATTTTTGCTTAGGGCGTGTGCACTTGACGGAGAGACAGAAAGAAAGTGATCCCTTCTCCTCCATTCTCCAATCCCTTCTCCTCCATTCTCCTCTTGGGATTTTGGGCATGCATATTTGTGTGTCCAATATGATTTTTTTTAAAAAAAGAATTGTTTAATTCTATTTGTTATAATTAGAATTATTTTAATTTGACCAGAGAGAGACAGAAAGGGAAAGCAAGAAAGCAAGCCGCCGGGTCTGAGACTCGAACCATGATTGACCATGTGGGAATTCAGTGCCCTTAACCACCATGCCACCTGTTGCCCCCACCACCACATGAGTTTTAAGCTGCTCAACTCCAGGACTTGAACCATGGTCAGCTAGGTGGGAGTCCAGCAACCTAACCATTAACGCCATCAGCTGGTTCCAGGAGAGATTATTTTAGATGTTGAATTTTTTTTTTTAAAGAATTATTTTACTCTACTTCATCTATCCATTGATTTCATTTGGAGAGGTTTTTTTCACTATAGGGCGCATGCGCTCGCCAGACAGGCAGAGAGAGACAGAGAGACAGAAAGCGAGAAATCACCCCCCAGGGGGGATGGCCACGCCGCAATCCCTTCTCCTCCATTCTCCTCTCAGGGATCTTGGGCATGCACGCAAACGCGCCTGGTGTGAGTTTCAAGCCACCGGGTCCGGGATGCAAACTGCGATCGACTATGTGGGAGTCCAGCGACATAGCCATTACGCCAACTGCTGGTTCCCTATCCATTGATTTTAATTTGACCAGAGAAGGACAGAGTGAGAGAGAGGTAGAGAGAGGGAAAGTAAGAGAGCAAACTGCCAGGTCTGTGATTCGAACTGCAGTCAGCCATGTTAGATTTTAGCACCCTTAACCACCATGCCACCTGCTGGCTCCTTAAATGTTGACTTTTTTTCTTGCATCAGTTGAAGGATGAAAGTTGAGAAAATCAACTGTTCAGAATTCCATTTGAATTATTATTATTTTAAGATTTTTTGGCATAGGGCGTATGCCCTCTCCAGAGAGAGTGTGACAGAATCAGAGGAGGAAAGTGAGAACTCACCCCCAGGGGGGATGGCCATGCAGGAATTCCTTCTTCATTTTCCTCTTGGGATTTTGGGCACGCACTCATGCCAGTGTGATTTTCTTCCCTTCTCCTTCCCCTCCCTCTCCCCTTCCTTCCCCTCCCCTTCCCCTTCTCTTCCCTTTCCCCCTCTTCCCTTCTCTCTTCTCTTCTCTCCTCCCCTCCACTTCTTTTTTGCTATAGGGTGTGTGCACTCACTGGGGAGTGAGAGGTAGAAAGTGAGAAATCACCCCCTGGGGGGATGGTCATGTCACAATTTCTTCTTCTTTCTCCTCTCAGGATTTTGGGTACATACACCTGCTGATATGAGTTTTAAGTCACCAAGTCTGGGACTTGAACCATGGTCCACTACATAGGAATCCAGTGACGTAACTGTTATGCCATGTGCTGGTCTTGTCCCAGTGTGATTTCAAGCCCTGAGCCCAAGAGTTGATCGTGTGAGAGTCCAGCACCTTAACCACCACGCCAAATGCTATCCCCATCATCTAAATTATTATACCTTTTTTTTTTTGAAGAGGTTTTTGCTATAGGACGCATGCGCTCACCAGATAGAGAGAAAGCAAGAAATCACCCCCCAGGGGGGATGACCACGCCGCAATCCCTTCTCCTCCGTTCTCCTCTCGGGGTCTTGGGCATGCATGCACACATGCCCGGCGTGAGTTTTAAGCCACCGGTTCCGGGACGTGAACCGCAGTCGACTACGTGGGAGTCCAGCGACATAACTATTATGCTAATTGTTGGTCCCTGTACTTTTTTTTTTTTTTTAAGTGTTTTGCCGTAGGACGTTTGCACTTGCTAGAGAGAGGCATAGACAGTGTGAGGGAAGGTAAAAAGTCATCGCCTGGTGGCCATGGCTGTACCACAGTCCCTTTTCCATTCTCCTCCTGGGATTTTGGGCATGCATGCATATGTGCCTGGTTTGATTTTCAAGCCACTCGGTGCAGAACTTGAACTACAGTGGCCAGCACCTTAACCGCCACCATGCCACCTGCCGGCTCCATACAAATTCAAATATTAGTGAACTGTACATACTTCTTCAAAAGTTAAAGTTAATGGGGCTCGCAAGTGGCACAGTGGTTAAGATGCTGGACTCCCACATGGCCAACCACGGTTCGAGTCCCCAACCTGGAGGCTTGCTTTCTCACTTCCCCTTTCTGTCTCTGTCTCTCTATGGTCAGATAATAATAACAACAACAACAACAACAACAAAACAAAAACAACAAATGAAATAAAAAATTCTTAAAAAAAAGAAAAAGTTGGGTCCAGCGGGTGGTATGGTGGTTAAGGTGCTGGAATTCCCACATGGATGACCACAGTTCAACTCCTGGACCTGGTGGCTTGCTTTCTCTCCCTCTTGCTCTCTCTCACACTGTCTCTGTCTTTCTCTAGCAAAACTCATGTGAAAAAAGAAATAATACATAAATTTTAAAATAAGTAATTCTTTTTTATTTGGAGAGGTTTTTCACTATCGGGCGCGTGCGCTTGCCAGACAGAGAGAGACAAAGAGACAGAAAGCGAGAAATCACCCCCCAGGGGGGATGGCCATGCTGCAGTCCCTTCTTCTCCATTCTCCTCTCAGGATCTTTGGCACGCACGCACACACGCCTGGCGTGTTTAAGCCACCGGATCTGGGACTTGAATCACGGCCGACTACATCGGAGTCTAGTGACATAGCCATTACGCTAACTGCTGGTTCCCTAAAATAAGTAATTCTTAAAAAACAAAAGTCGGAACCAGCAGTTAGCGTAATGGCTATGTCACTAGACTCCGATGTAGTCGGCCGTGATTCAAGTCCCAGATCCGGTGGCTTAAACACGCCAGGCGTGTGTGCGTGCGTGCCAAAGATCCTGAGAGGAGAATGGAGGAGAAGGGATTGCAGCGTGGCCATCCCCCCTGGATTCTTGGGTGTGTCACTCTCTAAACGTCATTTCTCTTCTGGAAAACTGCAGTGCCTGCTCTCCCTGCTTTCTGGGCTTGTTGTGGGCATTAATGAGACCGCGCAGCACACAACGTGGTGTTTTCTCACAGCGGAAGTACTCGACACCTGTGCCTGTTAGGACGGCATAGGAGAGGCGCCGGGGCAGACTGGCACGTACGAGGTGCTGCACACACAGTCGTTTGTAGGAGTATACGAAGATTGAGTCCTGTGCCCTCCACACTGTCCAGGAGTGTCTGGAGGCACTTTCTGGTGCTTGGTTTTCTCCCATTCTTTTTTTGTGGGGAGAGATTTTTGCTATGGGGGTGCTTGCGCTCGCCAGAAAGACAGGGACAGAAAACAAGAAATCACCCCCCAGGGGGGATGGCCATGCTGCAGTCCCTTCTTCTCCATTCTCCTCTCAGGATCTTGGGCATGCATGCACAAGCGCCCAGAGTTTAAGGCACTGGGTCTGGGACTCGAACCGCGGTTGACTACATGGGAGTCCAGCAGCATAGCCATTATGCCAACTGCTGGTCCCTGTTTTCTCCCATTCTTTGCACCAAAGGTACAGTAAGAACGGGAAATGCACTGGGCCCCTGCTGCGTGCCAGGCCACGTGCAGGCGTTAACCACTTCCTGAGGCTCAGGGGGGCCCCAGTGTAAGCTGCAGGACAGGCGCTATCATTCATGCTCGTCTTGTGGCTCGGAACCGGCAGCTCAGAGAAGTTAAGTGAGGGTCCCAAGGTCACAGACTTGGATTTGAACCCAACCCTCCAGACTCTAAATTTAGCTGCCTTACCACAGTTGCCTCCCTGTTTCTATGTTTTCCCTTCGTAGTATTTTCTAAACCCTCGGATTAAGCTGGTAGTAATTTTAGTACAGCTGGCAACTGCTCGCTTAGTGCCGAGTCATTGTTGCCTCTCTCTGTCCTTAATAGGCCAAGGAACCTACCGTGGCTGTGCTTGTGACCTGTCTGGCGCCTGCACCGTCCGTGGGCGGCTTGGTTGGAGGAGGGGAGTGAACAGAGTAGTGGGTTGGCTCCAAGGACATGGATTTACTGAGTGCTCCAGAGACGCTTCCAGTCAGGTGTCACATTAATGTGGGTATGTGTTTACCCAGGAAACTAAGCACTGTTCTGTTCTTTTATCTTCTAGCCCGGCTTTAGAAAACATCTGGGCCTGTTGGAGAAAAAGAAAGATTACAAACTTCGTGCAGAGTAAGTTCGCTCCTGCTGGTAGAGGTGCTGCCAGGAACTCTTGCAGCTTCTCTGCGCTGCAGCTGAATTGCTCGAGTGTCAAGAGGAGATCATTTCCTGCCATTGATAAAACGGCCGAAGCGCTGGCAACCTGTCCAATGTTTCTGTGACCCAAAATCACTGTCTTTGTTGAGACAGATCATTATTTAACTGTAGTTGCATTTCAAACTTTTGCTCTTATGCTCCAGATTGGTTTCTCAGAGGGGCTTTGATTTGCCTCCACCTTGGCGTTTGAACCAAAAGCTGAATCTTTTTTCTTTCCCCTTTTTTGAAATGCAAGATATAACCTAAAGACAAAATTCCATTTGTGGAACCTCTCACATCACCACGTGTGTGGTATGGAATGAAGGGCTGTGAAGGACGGATTCATGAGGCTGAGCGTGGGTGAACTTGAACTCTGAAAGCATTTATGAAACAATCGTCCCCATTCTCCTTCGTTAGCACTTATTTGCAGAATGCTTCGTAATTATTTGTTAGCCCACATGTCAGCTGAGGTCCTTCTTATGCCCCTGGTACTGATGGTGGTGATGGATTAAGTGGTCCCAGAGTTTTTAAGGCCAATAATAGTAGTGTACTGTTATTGGAGATAACAGGCAACGTTCTGGGAGATTTACAGTTTTTTTTTTTTAAGAATTATTTTATTTAACTATATTTACTTATGTATTTTAATTTGACCAGAGAGGGACAGAACAAGAGAGAGAAAGAATGAGAAAGTACGTTGCCAGGTCTGGGACTCAAACCACAGTTGGCCACATGGGAGTCCCGTGCCCTTAACCACCTTGCCACCTCTGACCCCAAGATTGACAATTTTTATATTCATTTATCTTCACAGCCTTCTGGGATATGTTACCGTTTTTTAAAAAATATGTTCTTTTTAGTTTTTTTTGCTATAGAGCATGTGCACTCTCCAGAGATAGTTGGAGAAAGTAGGAAATCACTCCCTAGGGGTAAGACCACGCCTACAATTCCTTCTTCTCTATTCTCCCCTTGGGGTTTTGGGCATGCATACACATGCTCCTGCTGTGATTTTCTTTCTTTCTTTTTTTTTTTGATGGGTTTTTGCTATAGGGTATGTGCGCTCTCCAGAAAGACAGAGAGACAGACAGATAGACAGAAAGCCAGAAATCACCCTCTGAGGGTATGGCCACGCTACAATCTCTTCTCCTCCATTCTCGGGATCCTGGACACGCACGCACACACGCTCGGTGTGAGTTTAAGCCACCGGGTCCAGGACTCGAACCGCGGTCGACTATGTGGGAGTCCAGCGACATAGCCATTACGCTAACTGCTGGTCCCGGCTGCTTCTGCTGTGATTTTCAAGTTGCCAGGTCCAGGGCTCAGACTTTAGTCAGTCCCATGTAGTCGACTGAGGTTCGCGTCTCTGTCTCTCTGTCTCTATCTGGCGAGTGCACACGCCCTATAGCGAAAACCTCTCCCCCCAAAAAAACTTTAGTCAGCCTTTTGGGAGTCCTGCACCTTAACCACTTATGTACCATCTGCAGGCCCCAGGAAGAGATACTATTAACATACCTATTTTACAGATTAATTGGAGATATATAGTAGTTAATTAACTTATTCAAGATTATTTACTAAGATTTGAACCCAGATCAGGGTCCAGACGCCTCGATTCTAGTTACCGTGGTATATGGTGTAGTATAGCATGATTAGAATCATATTTGGTCATTTAGTAGTGCCCAAGCTTACATCAGAACAATTTTACAGGATTATTTAAGAAGTTTTCATTTGTATTTGTTTTTTTCTTTAAATTTAAAAAATAATTATTTAGTTTTTTTTTTTTTTGAGAGGTTTTTGCTATAGGGCGCATGCGCTTGCCAGACAGACAGAGAGAGACAGAGAGACAGAAAGCGAGAAATCACCCCCCAGGGGGGTGGCCACGCCGCAATCCCTTCTCCTCTATTCTCCTCTCGGGATCTTGGGCACACACACACATGTGCCCGGTGTGAGTTTTAAGCCACCAGGTCCAGGACGCGAACCGCGGTTGACTATGTGGGAGTCCAGCGACGTAACCATTATGCTAACTGCTGGTTCCATTTAGCGTTTTTTATTAGTGTTATTATTTATTTATTTTGGAGAGTTTTTTGCTATAGGGCACATGCACTCGCCAGAAAGACACAGAGATGCAGAGAAACAGAAAGTGAGAAATCACCCCTAGGAGGGATGGCCACACTGCAGTCCCTTCTCCTCCATCTTCCTCTCGGGATCTTGGGCACGCACGCACACACACCCAGCGTGAGTTTAAGCCACCGAGTTCGGTACTTGAACTACAATCGACTACATGGGAGTACAGCAACATAGCCATTACGTCAACTGCTGGTCCCAGTGTTATTATTTCATTTGCATGAACACTCATCAGAGAGAGACAGAGAGACAGAGAGAAGGAAGGTGAGAAAGCAAGCTGCCAGCTCTGGGACTCAAACTGTGGTCGGTCGTTGAGAGTCAAGTGCCTTAACCAGCGTGCCACCTGCTGGCCCCTCTTTACATTTTTTTTAATTGGCAGAGGGCATGCATATTTGCCAGAGAGAGAGAGGAAAAGCATCCCCTAGTGGGACATGGTCACACTAGCATCTGTTCTCCATTTTCTACCCTGTCAGGATTTGGGGCATTCATACATGTGTGCCTGGTGTTTTTCTAGCCACCAGGACCAGGATTTGAACTGCAGTCGTCCTTGTGGGATCCTACTCCCTTAACTGCTAGCCGTAGGGCTGCCCTAAGTTTTTCTTTTATTCGGGTAGAAGTGCCAGTCCTGCGTTTTTAAAATTCATGGTAGCAAAGCCCGTACATGACAAAGAGGAACCGAGGGAAGGGAGGAGGGAGGGAAAGTGACAGAAGCACCCTACAAGGTCTTGTCACGCTGCAGTCCCCTTTTCCTAGCCCTGCAGCTCTTCAGCTCTTCTTGGGCACACATGTGTTCAGCACGTTTTCTAGTTGACCTGGGGATCTGAAGCTGAAGTTGACCATGTGAATTCCAACACTGCTGTTCTGTCTGCTGCTGCCCGCCACCACGCTGGGCCTCGTTTGTGCTTTGTTTGCTGTTTTCCTATAACGATATAAATGATACTGACACGTATGTGGGTTGGGGGCAGTTAATCTCAGGTATCACTGGGATCGGTGAGAACCGAGAGACTGTGGACCATGCAGAGACCAAGCTCAACTCAGTGATGGTGCAGCGTGGTCAGCTCCAGTCACTGGTTTGGCTTCTTTCATTTCATTTTGTGTGAGCTTTAAGATGCTTATAAAGTTTGCCTATTGTGGATTTTTTTTTTTTGCAACGAACTTTACTTAACCTATTTTTTTAGTGACTACCATAAAAAACAAGAGTTCCTCAGAGTTCTGCGGAAGAAGGCACTTGAAAAAAATCCAGATGAATTCTACTATAAAATGACTCGAGTTAAACTCCAGGTGGGTGCCTAATGGATCAGTTGGTGTTTTGAATTCCCAACTGTTGGAAAATACAAATGGGGGAGGAGATGGCGAGGAAGGATCCTTGGCTTCGATTTTGCCCTTGTCGGGTTGGTCCAGGTGCTCTCAGTCCATATCCATGGCAGACCTGCCCATTCTGGAGCAGACGCACTTCTGCTTCTGTGTTTGGGCTGTCTTCTGCCGGAGCTGCTCTCAGGAGGCGTGGCTGGAGGCGCTGCACCGAGCGTGCACCCTGGGGCTGAGGGCTGGGTTACTGCGCTTAGACAGCTTGTGGCTGTCTTTGTTCTAACCGTGGTGTCCACAATTTACAGATTTTAATCTAATAGGGATGTATCTTCTAAATTCGGATTTCAGGATGGAGTTCATGTTATTAAGGAGACCAAGGAAGAGGTAACTCCCGAACAGCTAAAGCTGATGAGAACTCAGGATGTCAAATATATAGAAATGAAAAGGGTCGCAGAAGCTAAGGTAACAACTCTTTCTTTTTTACACTTTTAAACAAGAATTATTTATTTAATTCCATTTGTTGTTATTATTTTTTGATTTGACCAGACAGAGACAGAGAGAGAGAGAGAGAGAGGGAGGGAGAGAAAGAGAAAGGAGGAAAGCAAACCGCCAGGTCTAGGACTTGAACTGTGGTCGTCTACGTGGGAGTCCAGCATCTTTATTCACCATGCCACCTGCCGGCCCCAACAATGAACTCTTTACTCCGATGTATTTTTGTTGGTTAAGAAAGAAAGCACAAATCCATCCATCTCAAGTGATCAGTTGGTTTCTTCTGGCATTTTTAGGCCTAATGTATGCTAGCTTGTGATAATGATAGAAGTTGAGGCAGCATGGGTGAATAGAGAGAGTGCATGTCCGAGAAAGAGGCAGGCGTAGCTTTGAATTCTGGCTCTTCCTTTTACCAGCCCCATGACTGGACGAGTTAATCTCCCTGAGGCTGTTCCCTCATTTCTGCTGATTGTCAGAAAAGTCATGATGCATTTTTGCATAGAAAACCCAGGAAAAATAGGTCATGACTTTTCCGATAATCCAATATTTCATAATGTTGTAGGGATTAAATGAGTTTTGTGGGTGCTCTGCCCAGTCCCTCAGGTGTAGCTGATGCTTGGTGGATGTTACTGGTTCTTTAAAAGAATAGAGCAAATTCTTTGCTGACTGGCAGTATGACGTAAAATGATGTAAAAGTGTTTGCAAGTTTATTTTTAATACCCCAGAAGAACTCAATAGAAAGCAAGACCATATTCTATATTCTAGAAAATTGAAAGACTGAAATCAGAGCTCCATCTGCTGGATTTCAAGGGGAAGCAACCGAAGAAGCATGTATTTTTTTTTGACACCAAAAAGGAAGGTATGAGATGATTGGAGGTTTCTGGGACAGCCTGCCGTGTCAGTCTGTATTTGGTGATGGAGACAGTGCCTCAAGGATTGTCTTGAATTTTAGTTGAACAGTTTGATCTTGCAACTCACCTGCAAACAGCCCCGGAACTAGTGGACAGAGTCTTTAACAGACCCAGGATAGAGACCTTGCAGAAGGAAAAAGTGAAAGGAGTTACCCCTGGGACTCGACTCAAGGTAATATTCTTTATTGTCCTTGACATGTAGGCTTAGGAGAATCTAGGTTCTTTTTTGTTTTGCCACTACATTTAATATAATTATTTCTGGAAAACTCATTAAGTTCCCTTAGAGAAGTGGAAGGGGGGTTGGAAGTAGAGGAAAGTTCTTTGGCTTTTTAAGTTTGGAGGCCATGTGGTATAGTAGTCAGGAGCTTAGGTTTGGCCTATAAGCGTGCATTTGCGTTTCAGCTCTGACCCTGTGCATTGTGCCGTCCTTTGCCCCCAGTTTGTTATAGGGCGTGTGCACTCGCTAGAGAGAGGCAGAGAGAAAGAGAGAAAGCACTCCCTGGGGACATGGCTGCACTGTTCCTTCTCCTTCATTCTCTTCTGGGGATTTTGGGCACACATGAACATGTGCCTGGCGTGTTTTTCAGACTCCTGGGTCTGGGCCTCAAATCTTGCATTTGGCTATGGAGATCCAGCTGTCTTAACCGTCACGCCACCTGCTGGCCCCACATATCATACTTTTTTTTTTTTAAGAATTATTTATTTAGGGACCAGCAGTTGGCGTAACGGCTATGTTGCTGGACTCCCATGTAGTCGACCGTGGTTCGAGTCCTGGACCCGGTGGCTTAAAACTCACGCCGGGCACATGTGCGTGCGTGCCCGAGACCCCAAGAGGAGAATGGAGGAGAAGGGACTGCGGCGTGGCCATCCCCCCTGGGGGGTGATTTCTCGCTTTCTGTCTCTCTGTCTCTCTCTCTCTCTGGTGAGCGCATGCACCCTATGGCAAAAACCTCATAAAAAAAGAATTATTATTATTTAACTTTATTTACTCAATCATTTATTTTTAATTTGATGAGAGAGAGAGAGAAAAAAAAGCCACAGGTCCAGGACTTGAACCGTGATTGGCCATGAGGGAATGTCCTATGCCTTAGCCACTACACCACCCGCTGGTCCCATATTGTGCTTTTAATATTGACAGATCATCTTTTTAATTGTTTTTTCTTATTGTTATTTTAAAATTTGACGAGAGGAGGAGAGGGAGAGAGAGAGAGAAAAAAAAAGAAAGTGAGACAGCCGGCCACCAGGTCTGAGACTCAAACTGTGGTTGGCCATGTGGGAGTCCAGTACTTTACCCACCACGGCACCTGCCGATCCCCGATCTTTTTTTTTTTTTAAGGAATTATTTATTTAATTCCATTTATTATTATCATTTTAAAATTTGACCAGAAAGAGACAGACAGAGAGAGGAAGGGAAAGTGAGAAAGCAAGCTGCTAGGCCCAAGACTCGAACTGTAGTCAGTCATGTGGGAGTCCTGTGCCTTAATTACCACGCCACCTGCTGGCCTCCAGGTCATCATTTTTAAAATGCCGAGAAAGGAGGGAGCAGAAGACGAAGTGGTTTGGTATGCTTTGATATTTAGGCTTTATCAGTGAATACACATGTCAGAGCTTTTCATAGTATGGATTTATAACCAGCATTTTGTACTGACTTTTCCTTATGGCGTTTTCCATCACTGTAACTGGTTTCTGCAGAAGATATGCTTCTCCTTAAAGCCTTCTGGAATTGAACTCTCACTTCTGACTGATTCATTAAAAAAAAAAATGCTGTCAATGTGTTTCGAGCAGACAGCTGTTCTGTTTTGATTTGAATCATTTACACCGCATCAGTTTTGCTTCCAATGTTTAATTTCACAGCAGTTTCCTCTAGCTCAGAGGCAGCTAAACTTGCTTTAGTAATATAAATACCCCTAATTAGTTTGACTATATTGGGTAATCCCATAAATTTGACAGTCTGTGCAATAAAGTGAAAACAAAAGCTGTCTGAAACCACTGCTGTGAGACTCTGCTAGAATTGGTGAATCGTTGAAATCCGAGGCCCAGTAATATTCCCCTCTATGTAGATAACACTTCAGCCGCAGAGCTGGCTGGCTAGTGTTCTTGTGATAACCCTGTTTGTTAATGAGTTGAATTTTCAATTGGTTGTGTCACCGACACTTCTCTAGTATTGTGGTAGTCCCTGAAGAAATTAGTATTCCAGGGACCAGCAGTTAGCATAATGGCTATGTCCCTGGACTCCCATGTAGTCAACTTCGGTTTGCGTCCTGGACCCGGTGGCTTAAACTCACGCCGGGCGCCTGTGTGTGCGTGCCCAAGATCCCAAGAGGAGAATGGAGGAAAAGGGATTGCGGCGTGGCCATCCCCCCTGGGGGGTGATCTCTCGCTTCCTGTCTCTCTGTCTTTCTTTCTCTGTCTGGTGAGGGCACATGCCCTATAGCAAAAACCTCTCCAAAAAAAAAAAAAAGAAAAGAAATTAGTATTCCAGACTCCTCTGGAGACTAGTTCAATGTAGTTTCAGAGACGGTTTTCTCTCTAGTAGTGTTGTTTCTTTTTATTGTTTTGTTTAAAGTAGACTTTTTTTTTTTTAAAGGTTTCTTGCCATGGTGTGCCTATGTTCGCCGGCGAGGGGAGAGAGAGAGAGACAGAGCAGAGCAAGAGTGAGAAATCCCCCCCTCCCAGGGGGATGGCATGTCACAGTCCCGTCTCCATTCTCTTCCTGGGGTTTTGGGCGTGCACGCACATGAGCCTGGTGTGATTTTTAAGCCTCCAGTTCCAGGGCTCTAACCATGTGGGCTGTTGAGCACCTTAACCACTATGCCACCTGCTGGTCCCAAGCAGACTTATTTTTATTAAGAGACCTCTAGTTGGTTTGCAAGGGAGTTTACTTGGTAACTTGGAGGGGATGACTAGTGGATGCACTGTGAGAGGTCTGTGAACACCTTCCTCCCATGCCCAAATTTTGTGCAAAAAGGTGTATGTTTGCACAGAGGTGTACAAGCATGTACATTTCTCTCAAGGAAGAACCCAAAGCTTTCATCAGTTTCTCTGAGGTTTGGGATTCCCCAAAGTTGAAAAGGACCACTGGTCTTTGAGGAGCCATTGGCAGTAGTGCAGTAGTGGAAAGATGCTTGGGATCCCTGAGACTTGGAAACAGTCCTGACTGCTCCAGGCTCCTTTGGCCAGTTTTTTCCCTCCGGGCCTCATTTTTCTGCATTTATAAAATGACAGGTCTCGATAAGTTAGTCTCTATGATTCTCTTCAGCTCTAGAGTGGTTTTTAAAATGGACAACTTGACAGGAATCACATTATGTTGATTTTGGAGTTAGGACAGAGTTGATGAAACCATTTGTACACTTGTGCTTAAGTGGGTTAAGAAGCAGTTTCGTCTTCGTTTTGTCCTGTTAATTGCTTTATTGAAAATGTGTGGGTCTCTTCTGCAGCGGCTAGCCAAAGAAAGACAGAAGCAGTATAACTGCCTGGCACAGCGGATCGAGCGAGAGAAGAAATTGTTTGTTATTGCTCAGAAAATTCAAACACGCAAAGATCTTCTGGTGAGGAGAGAGCCTTAGGTCTTTTTTTTTTTTCCTTTTCTTTCTTGTAAAGGTCTTAACTGAGACTGGATTTCAGTGTGTGTAAAATCAACCCCAGTGAAAATGTCTGCCCCTCAGGGGCAGTGGTTCAAGCCAATGCCTGTTACCCTGACAGTGTTGAAATGTTCCTTGATTAAGAAGGTAATAAGAGGTTATTAGTCAGTGCTTTGGAACAGCAGAGGGTAGGATCGGGTAGCGTATGAACTTTATAGCTTATGAGCAGCACCCGTAACATTTAAACAGGTTAACAAAACAGTGCATGTCACTCAGTGGTGTTTAAAAATAGACAACATTGTGTAGTTAAATAGCAGAGCTAAGGCATATAAGAGGCCTCTTTCATATTATCATTCCTCCAAATGTCAAATTCTTGAGCTTTGCAGATCATTTAAGTCAACCTTTCTCAACTGGGGTTCCGTGAGAGAATTAAGATTAGAATCTTTAACAGAACAGTTATTGGGCACCTCTTCTCAATTTTCCAAAGGTCTGGACACAGCTAGTACCATTCTGGAGGCCGAGGGGAGAAATCCACTCGTTGCTGTGGTGGGTGCCGACAGCAGTGGGCATGTCCCTCTGAACTTTGAGAAGAGCTAACTCGGAGGCTTTCCCATAGTAGTTCATTAACCTTCCTGTTTTGCAAATCCTCTCCCACAGTTTCTTGATCACCTTTTTCTTCTTTTGTAGGATAAAACTCAGAAAGTGAAGGTGAAGAAACAAACAGTGAACTCCCCCGCTATTTACAAATTTCAGAGTCGTCGAAAGCGTTGACATGTTATAGATAAGCCTTGTCATTCTGCATCAAAAAGAATTCCTTTTTTTTTTTTTTTTTTTTTTTTTTTTTTTTTTTTTTTTTTTTTTTTTTTTTTTTTTTTTTTTTTTTTTTTTTTTTTTTTTTTTTAGTATCTGCACATTCCATTAGTCCAGGTGACTTGGTGTTCTGGTTTGTAGCCGTAATTGACTATCAGTCTGACATTTGAGGTCTTTCTGTGAATAGTATTAAAGTCCCTTTCCCCACGTGACTCTGTTTGGTTGTGAAATAAGTCTTATTTTTATATGCATCATGAAAGTTATAATCCCATTACAGCACTTTGGAAAATCGAGGAATTCACTCCTGATCTCATACTTACTCAAGAGCAGGTGCTTACTGCACGCTTACTGTGGTGGGTGCTGTGGAGGCGAACTCTGTTTCATCTTCTCCAGTTGATAAAGCTCTGCATCAGTTTTTGTTCCTGTGTTTTGTAGTTCTAGTGAACAGTTTTATATCCTAACATTTTTATTAAGTCATTAATGCTTTTTGATTTTGGTCCATCAAGTTTTTCCTTTTTTAATTTGCTGAAGGGTTCGTATGTTTGCTGGAGAGATGGAGGGGCAGTGAGGAAAAGTGAGAAAACCGTCTTTTGGGAGGATGGCGATGCCACAATCCCCTCTCCGCCATCCTCCTCCCAGAATTTTGGTCACATACACAGACACACATGTAGGTATACATGCACATGTACTCGGCATGTTTTTTAATCGAATCGTGTATTGCCATGTGGCATCCACCCATTTAGGCCAGCTGGTGGCATGGTAGTTGGGGCGCTAGACTCCCATGTGGCCAACTGTGGTTCGAGTCCCAGACCTTGTGACTTGCTTTCTCACTTTCTCTCTCTTGCACATGTGCCCTATAACAAATTTTAAACGTTTTTAAAAATAATTATTTTTTTGCTGTACGGCATGTGCGCTCGCCAGAAAGACAGAGACAGAGAGACAGAAAGCGAGAAATCGCCCCAGAGCAGATGGCCATACTGCAGTCCATTCTCCTCTCAGGATCTTGGGCGGGCACGCACACTCACGCTCCCAGAGTGAGTTGAAGCCATCGGATCTGGGACTCGGATTGTGGTTGGCTACATGGGAGTCCAGCGACATAGCCATTACGCCAACTATTGGTCCCTTAAAAATAATTCTTTAAGAGAGGTATACTCAGAGTAAAAATGAAAATGTTTAAGAGTATTTTAAAAGTTTATTTCTTGGGGGCCGGTAGGTGGTGTGGTTAAGGGAGCTAGACTCCCATATGGCTGACCACAGTGAGTCCTAGACCTGGCAGCTTGCTTTCTCACTGCCCCAGCCCCCTGTCAAATTTAAATAAATAGGGGCCGGCAAGTGGCCTGCTGGTTAAAGGTGCCGGACTCCCACATGGCCAACCACGGTTCAAGTCTCGGACCTGGTGGCTTGCTTCCTCACTTCCTCTCTGTCTGTCTCTGATCAAACTAAAAAATAATAATGATAATGATAAAGTTAAAAAAAAATTCTAAAAAAAAAAGGTAGGAACTTAAAAAAAAAATTTAAATAAATAAATAATTTAAAAAATACATTTAAAATAAGTTTATTTCTCTCCTGAGAGAGAGACAGACACGTACACAGGCACCCTCACTGGGGTCTCATGCTGTGCTCCTGGCAGCTCCCAGTGAGCCTTGCCACACTGGCTGATCCAGGAACTGAACCCCAGCCCTCCAACTGGCTCCCAACACTGTGGAGTGTTGCGCTACCACTGAGCCACCGTGGCCGGGCCTGTGAAATTGCATATTGCTTTCTCCAGTGAAGAGGCTGATTTTATCCGCGTTCATTCTTTTATTGGATATTCAGGTGGGTTTGTAAATTGGACGGGGAATTTTTTTTTTTCTCTTATATTCTACAGCTGCACATAGGAACCTTTGGAACTAGGATCCCCCAGGGCCACCTCTTCTTTATTAATGCAGCTCAAATTGGAATGGACCTGGCTGTGTTCCTCTCTCTACACTCCTGGCCAGCTCATGATGCCAAGGCTAGAAGTGACTTGTACACCCTGTACCCTGGGAACATGGACTCCAGGGGCAGCTTCCTTCTCCCAGGTGCCCACCCTTCCCATCCCTGCCCATGTGGGATCATGGGCTGAGCCATCAGGATAGGACTGAGCATGCATACAGCCAATGTGGGAGAATGGGAGCAGGTTCTGGGAGGCTTGCTCAGACCTCACCCCCTGGACGGGGAGCAACAGCTCCATGGGGGTTTTAAAGGTTTTAATACTTAAGAGCCATGACCGCTAGGGTCCTGTACCAAGCCTAGAATGGAGCTGTCTCCCTCAGCATGTACCAGTGGGATTTGGATCTGGAAGCCCTGGGAAATAGGAAGAAGGGCCAGGGAACAGAAGCTAGCAGCTTTTGCCCTCCACAAGGAAGCATGTCCAGTCGGGGAACTCCCGTTGGGGGAGGTGCTAAGCTGCAGTGCTGGTGGTCTTACCAAACTTGATCCCCAAGGCAGGGATGGGACCCATCCAAGGGTGGATGAGGTGTGAGTGGACGAGGTGGCAATCTTCCTGGCCCCAATAGCTGGGCCCTGCTGAATAGGATGGTGGGGGAGGATAGGGAGAATACCTAAATGCCTGACACAAGGCGTCCACCCACCCAAGGTAGACAGTGCTTCATGCTAACAGGTGCATGATGAACAGGCATGGTGCACCCACACCTCCTCTGGTGCACCAGCACGTGGTGATGCTTGAGCCCACAGGCTGCTGGAGCTGGGAAATTCATCCAGGAGTAGCCTGAGCTCCGGGCTGGGTGTACTCAGACCTAGAAGGGGATGAGGCTAGGTGTCCCGAGTTGCTGTTAACACTGAGGGACGTCCCTGAGGCCCCAGGATTCTAAGGAAGAGATTGTCTCTTGTATTAGTGGAAATCAAGCTGCATGGGCTGAGAGTAGGCCAGGGCTTTGACACTTCAGCCCTTGGTGGGACCCCAGATGTCTGGCTCTTGGGGAAGGGGAGAGAGTATCATTCCTTAGGATCCATTCCTCTTTGCCCTGGGGATGTTTTTGACTTTTGATGGCGCCCCAGCTGTGCCCAGGGGGCTGAGAGCAGCCTCTGGAGGTGGAGAGATTTTCTGAATCAGAACTCTTGTTTGACTCTGGTCACTTTCTCTCTTTTTTTTCAAGTTTGCTATAGGGAGAAGGAGGTGGGTGAGAAATCACCCCCAGAGGGATGGCCACACTGCAGTCTCTTCTCTATTCTCTTGGGACTTTTAGGCACACATGCACCCATGCCCAGTGTGTTTTTCAGGCCACTGGGTCCCGGAGAAACGTGCAGTCGGCCATGTGGGGTGCAGCTACCTTAACTAGCATGCCACCGCTTGTCCTGGTTCTGGTCTCTTACAGGTCTGGTCTCCAGAGTGGCAACTACACGGACGCTATGAAACTCCCAGGTCTGTTCAACACAAATCGGCGAGCTCAGCTTGACCTCAGTTCCTTGCTGCATCTTAGGGCCTGTCTGAACAGAGCAGGGGAGTGTCAAGTCCTAGCTTTATTCTTGAGTAAAATGATCTGACTTTCTGTTTAGAAGGAACAGATTCCTGGCGACAGGGTGGGGAAGGGCCCAGCAGGGGGAGCTGCTGCCCCTTGGTTGGGATTAGTGCTCGCTGCTGTCCACACACCTAGCACACTTGGCCTCGGCCAGGAGCCGCCTGGGCTCCATAGCGCCCTGGTAATGTTTATTGAATTCAGTCGGGGGGAGCTCCTGGGAAATGAGATTTTTTTGCCCTCGAGTTTGGGATTGTTGTGGCTGCAAGGCAGAGATGAACAAGAAAGGCTCTCCTTTCTCGTGGGCGCTGTGCAGGGACCCCCAGAGGCTTTCCCAGGGCTTCCATTCGGGCCTCAGCTTTCCCAGAGCCTGGTTCCTCCAGTCATGGTAGGGCCTCCCTTCACGTGGTCGGGAGCATGTGTGCACCCTGTCTGCGCACGCTGCTGGCTTGGCCCTGAACAATTAGAGAGCGGGGAAGGCGGCCAGCAGACGCGGACTCTGCCCACCTGTGGAGGCCGGTGAGGCCGGGGCCTGCTGAGACTTGACACAGCGCTGCGAGTAGGTGTGAGGTGCTGGGCTCCTTCCTCCTCACGCTCTCGCAGCCTGCCAGTTCCCGGAGCAACAAGTGCAGGGTGCCGGGGAAGGGAGGGCTGAATCTTGGGTGGGAGTCCTGGCCTGAAGCCCCAGGTGAGTGGAGAAATTAGGGGCAGACCTGAAGTGCTGTGCTCGGGCCCGAGCTGGAGCGATTCTAGGCTTGTGCAGCCACCCCCAGGGGTCAGAGGGTGCACCCTTGAGCCATCCAGGTCATGGGGCCTCCTGGCTGGCAGGGCTTCCACAGCTCCAATGGTCTGTCTCAGCAGAAAGTTCAGAGCAGGATCAGAGAGAAGCGATGAATTGGCAAGGCCCACCTTCCTTTATACTTTTTAAAAATAATAATTTATTTAACTTTATTTGTTACTATTTTGAAATCTGACTAAAGAGAGAAAGGGAAAGTAAAAAATGAAGACGCCAGGACTAGCAGTTGATGTAATGGCTATGTTGCTGGACTCCCATGTAGTTGACCAAGGTTTGAGTCCTGGACCAGGTGGGTTAAACTCATGCTGGGCACATGTGGGTGATTTCTCGCTTTCTGTCTCTCTGTCTTTCTGGAGCAAGTGCACGTGCCCTATAGCAAAAACCTCTCAAAAAAACAAAACAAAAAACAAACAAAAAAACCCAAGCTGCCAGGTCTGGGACTCAAACTGTGGCCAGCCATGTGGGAATCTAGCACCTTTAACAACCATGCCACCTGATCTCCGCCTTTTTTTTTCAGAGAGATATTTACTATAGGGCGCACGCGCTTGCCAGTGAGACAGAATGTGAGAAATCACCCCCCCTCCTGCCCCGGGGGGGAGATGGCCATGCCACAATCCCTTATCCTCCATTCTCCTCTTGGGATTCTGGGCACTCAAGTACACATGCCTGGCATGAGTTTTAACTCACCGGGTCTGGGAATTGAACTGTGGTCGACTACGTGGGAGTCTAGCGATGTACCAGTACACTATCTGCTGGTCCCTTCAGCTTCCTCTGAGAGTTAGAGGTTGCCCAGCTCATGCTTCTACTTGTTTTTATCCTAAACTGTTCTGGTCAGAAGAACCACATCATCCCTCCTGCTTCTTTGGACTCCCTATAAGAAATATTTCTGTGGGGCCAGCAGTTGGCATAATGGCTGTGTCATTG